TTAAATTAGAATATGATTAGAATATCCTCTATAGGTGGACAATTTGCATCTCTGTAAATAGTTGTGCCGGATGTTACTCATATTCTAATTTCTGACTATAAATAAAAGGTCATTTGCAGACTGTGACCCCCACCCACAGCCTCCACTGGTTTTAGTAGTAGTAATAGTAATAGTGGTAGTAATAGTAGTAAGTAGCAGTATCAACAATTTCCCTGAGGTTCATACCAAAGGGATCAATAAAGTTGTCTCTCTATCTATCTAGTAGTAGTACTCACAGTGACCTGAGCAACACAACACATGCAGGGCTGCTGAAAATAACCCCGTCTTGCAAGACTTATATTTAGAAACTGACACTAAGTCCTCAATTCAACTATTTCTATTCCAGTTTCTATTGATTCTATCGCTTTTCTACACCATCATTCCAGTTCATTGTTTTTATTTGTCCAGTTTCTACTAATGCTGTAGATTTCTATGCTGGCAGTTTGTAACATTGGTAAAGTTAGATTAGTTTAGATTAGATTCAAATTTATTGTTATTGCAGAGCACAAGTACGGAGACAACAAAATGCAGATTAGCATCTAACGTACAGTGTGAACAGGATTGTGTGAACAAAGTGTGTGAATATAACAGCTGTACACAATAAAACAATAAAACGTAACACAGCAAACATTTTACACTACATACTGTGCAGCTTTGCACATTCCCAGGTCAATAATTTGCACATTCCTGCACAATTTGTACAGCTGCCTCACTTCAACAACACAGTAAATATCTGTATTGCTTTTGCAGCTGCAGCTCTGATTTGCTGCACATGCTGTTCACTTGGCTTGCAACTCTTTCTTTACATTTTTGGGCGTGTCATAGTTTACTGTTACGCACCAAAACACCAAGTCAAATTCCTCATATGCAATAAGAAATTCTGATCTCTGAAGTTTATTTATTGCTTGCAATCTATATTTTTCAAATTTTGTATTGTTCTTTGCTATTTGAGTGTGTGTTTGTGTTTTATTTGCCAGTGAGTGTAGATATTATAGTATTTGTCAGGCGTCTGAAGCCTCTCTGTGTTCTTGATGCCACGAGGTGCCTGGCACTGAGATCTTTTAGAATCAGGGCCAACTCTTATCTGATCTCTCATTATTTTTTTTTATTTATTTTGCCAACAGCCGCCCATCATTTCCTGTGTGTGTGCGCCCGTGTTTCTGTCTGACTTGACGCACCAGAGACCTGACAGCAGCCGCTCCGGTCTGTCTGCGCGGAGACACCCTGCGCTGCTCCGGCCTGCAGGCAGCCGCTCCGCCCGCAACCAGGAAGCTCACTGGAGCCGCACGTCTCCTCCGAGTTTGGACGATGGTCGCCGGCAGGAGTTTCTGCTGAGCCCCGACAGCGCACAGACAAAGAGACAGCCAGGGGGGGTTCGCTGTGAATTCAACGGGGCCACACAGGACGGCGACGCCACGTACTGAGTCAAGACAACAACCAAACCGAGTTGCAGCCGGCAGCCGAGCGGTGGAGTCGATGTGAGCCCGGCGATGATCAACTTGGTGGAAAGTTGGGAGAGACGGCGCGTCAAAGGAAAAGATTCACGGAAAGTGATGTTTTTTGGAGAAGAGTTTGGTGTAAAGGCAGATAAACGGTAGTGAAAATGTGCGAAGTGGCCATGGAGGAGCGGGAGAGGGAGATCTCGGACATGGAGCGGTGCTCCTCGGTGGCGGAGAACGGGGTCATGCTGGTGGTGAACCACAGCCACGTCCACGCTCCGCTCAGCGTCGTGCTGGCCACCGTCCTCTACTGCGCGGAGTTCATCACCGCCGCCGTGCTCAGCAGCATGTACCACAAGACCGACGATGTCATCTGGATGGGCCTCACCATCACCTTCATGCTGGTGCCGGCGGTGCTCATCCAGCTCACCCTGACCTTCATCCACAGAGACCTGGGCAGGGACCGGCCTCTGGTGCTCTTCCTGCACCTGCTGTTGCTGGGGCCGGTCATCAGGTGGGTCCGGGCGGGGACACGCAGGGAGGAGAGGCCCGGTCACTGCACACACTCTGGTCCTGCACTGTGTTGACATTCAAGTTAGGAGATGTGATTTGTAGTGAGTGAGGGCAAACTGCTCTGTTGTTATTATTTGTAAACAATTGGCAGTTGTTTTGTAGAGTTTTCCTGGTTTTTAGAATAACATAATATCTAGTGAATTCACAAAAAAAGGTATTAATTTACATGTTCACCACAACAACAGGCATATCTTAAAAATAGCATCCTCATCCAAGGTTCAAGACCACACTATTTTGACTTTTTTTGAATTAGCAAAAAATGTAAATATTTTACAGATTAGACTTTTTTGAAAGACAAACGATGTATGTTCAGAACAGAAAAATAGTAAATCTTTTATACACTATTATTTTACGGATTTTCTTCTTTTTGTCAAAAATACAGATAATAATCGTAATTTTTTTGTTTTACAAAATGACACTCTCTCTGCTGTACTTAAATCAGCCAAAAATCACTTTATTTTACGATGATTTTCTGTTATTTTGAAAGGAAAAATATGTAAAAGTTAAAAATGAAAATTAGTTTTTTTTACACAATTTTACAGATTTTTTTCTTTTTTGTTAAATTACAAATGCTATCATGTAAAATCACAAAAAGTATTAATTTAAATGTTAAACTATAAGTGACGTCCACACGAAAAATCGCACTTTAAAGTATTACATTAAGTTAAAAACACTACTTTGAATTTTTTCCCAAATGATTTCAAAGCTATTTAAAGACTAGCTAGGCCACTATCATCCAAGAAAAGACCTGAGATGAAAATGTACAGTGTCTAGTGGTCAGAGGGGGATTTTGCCCCAGTTTACCCCCCTCCCTTTTAACCTCATTTAAAAGCACAGAAGAATCATTGAGTGACTTTTTGCAATGGGTCTCTGTAAACCTTCAGTACTCTTGAATCCCATTACCTCATTTTCAGGCATTTGTCCCTCTTACTGCACATGGAATTTCCACTTTCCGTTTGTAGTGTAGCACAGTTGAAGGAGTGCAAGTTGACATTTATGGTTGAGTACATAAAACCCTGCTGCAACATTTTATTATAATGAATCTGAGTGGAGCTGCAATGGTCCGGCGATTAATCGATTAAACTTTTCAGTCATTTTTTGGGGGGAAAAAAAGAACTTGATGGGTTGTGAGGATTTTTCTTTTACATATATGTTAGAAGGCAGAATAACTTTGGCTTCTGGACTGTTGTTGTACAAAAACAAGACACAATGCTGTGAAAACCTACATTCCCCCTAGTTTCTGACATGTTAGAGACAAAACTATGTAAATAATTCAAATTTGCTGCCCGACATCTTAGTGGTCCGTCTTCAGTCAGGTATTACAACGGGATGCACAGCTTCCGCTTTCCATTGGGGGTGCAGGAGGATTAATGGGATACAAATTGACAGTCTGCAGAGTGCATTAAAGCCCTGCAGGGATCTTTGAGAGCCAACATGACGCTGCAGTAGTTCAACATTATGGAGCCAAATTATTTAAAAATATAGGATGCTGTAGTGATCGACTGATTGGGAAAACAACAGGAAAGTACGCTCAGTTTCCAGATTCTTAGTCAAAAACTAATGCCACAGTTCTGTAGTAGGTCATTTAGGGTGGTTTTATTGAGCCTGGCATCAGAGATATGAATGGGCTGGACAAGATAAGAGTAGCTTCCATCAGTTCAGTATGACTCAGTGCAGTATTATTTGTAGCAATATTGTAGTGTTTATGGTGGTATTGAACTGACAGTTGAGTAAATATCATTGTTTTTAGTAACTCTGTGTTTTTTTTTAGCACTCTTTTGACTCCTTCCAATGAAATCGTGTTTTTAACCTTGGTAGCATGCCCACGTGGTGTTTTTATATGCTTGAATCATGAATGAAATAAGCAGTCAACGCAGTGCCACAGCATTTCCGCCTTGAAACTGCAGCATATCGATGACCATTTCAAAAACACAAATTCAGACTTCCGGGGTTTCACATGTAACACACCTAAAGCACCAATCCTGTCAGTTTGCATGGTGGCACTTTTCTATATCAGTTTTCTTCTTTAGAATCAGTTTCAGGTTCAAACATTTATGGCTGAATTACTCCAATATAACAACTTGAAATTGCGTAGTGCAGAGTTTAGTGTTTGAGCAGCATAGTTGGTGAGCTGGCTGGTGTGCATGAGCTGCAGCGAGTGGTGGAGTGTTGAGTGGAGATAGAGGCAGACACTTCATAGATTGTTGAGGAACTAACATTGTAGAGTTTTAATGGAAACAACTTTGATAGATGAGTTTTTGGGGTTTTATTCAATGACCATAGATGGAGTAAAGTCAAGCCTCCTGAAATTGAAGAATTGCTGCTTTCTTGTCAAATGTTGCCTTAAAATAGGTTTTGAACATTTGATTAAAAAAGACAATACACAGCCATTGGCTCTGCAAAGTTGAAATGGGAATTTATACTTAATTTTTTCACATTTTCTAGATTAAACTATATTAATCTACATATGAATTGATAAAATAACTGACTTATTGAAACGGTATCTGTCGATCTCTTGCCGTTTACTGTTGCAGCGTTGTGAGAGCACAAAGACTGCAGATCTCGCTGTCAGTAACTGAATCACACTCCAGATGGAAAGCCTGTCCAGCATGACGAACACGATGGATGACTGAACATAACAACCACCCACATCATCCCCCATGCTGAACAGGGACTGACATCAACACAACTTCCTGTCATGTCCCTGATCTTTTAATTTGAAATCTCCCTGATGGTGTGGATCTATATCCCCACGGGGAGGACTTTGAAGCCGCTACGTCAAAAGACTCCTCAGAGCTGGTGTCCGCCCTAGTAACATATCCTTCACACTCACGCCCCGTACACCCCTAAGCTGTATGACCTCATCTGAAGGTAATGGCACCCAAATGCCTTAGTCGGACAGTTGATCCATCATGGCTGAATCAGCTGGAAGAGATGCGTTGAAAAAGGGGTTGTAGCCGTTGCCGGAAAGGTTTCTAGAAATAATACAGCTTGGTTTTATTCTTGGAAATGAGACAGAGCAGCACACGTAGATGAAAGACGCAAACAAGTGTTCCTTTGAAAGATTACAAGCTTTGGAAAGGTTGATTCAGTCTAAGGGAGGAGTTCTGTTTAAATACTGTCAGATTGCACCTCAGCGTCATTTGAGATACCTGTTTGGCGAACCGTGACTCATGTTAAAGGATGTAGGTGGAGACTTGTACTTAAGCTCTGCAAAATTCAAATCCATGCTTCCCCGCCCGCCTCCTCTCTCTGAACTTTGATTTGTCAACAGGTCGCCCTGGGCGATGCAATGAATTTTACAGTACTATTGTAAGAGTTAATTAAAGGGTGTGTTGTTTTACAGGGTAAGAAACTAACCGTCGTCTTTAGTTGCAGTTTAGCTGCCATAGAGAGAATGTTTTGCAGAAGAAAGTGTAGCTATGAGGCACATGGTTTGATTTATGGCTCAGTCCAGTGTATATCAAAACCCATTTGCAGATTTCAACAAAAAAAAAAAGACAGAAGAATCCCAGAAAACCCTTTTGTTAGGCCGTTAAAAGAAACAGAAGGTAATCTTCAATGCTGAGCGGACTGTTTTTAGTTTTGTTATTGCATTCTAGGCTCATACAATTCTTTCTTCACCAGCTGTGACGAAGGAGACTTGAGCCAAAATGGCTTAACAAATCGACACTGTGTCACACATGTAAAGAGTGTTTGCTTCAATGTTGAACCACCCAACAGATTCACAGTTCCCACTATAACTGGAGCAAGGTCACGGCGTGAGGGGTTCAGCCCTTCTGTGATTATTTATTAACACATCAGAGATAAAGCCGCATGAAGCGCTCATATGACAGTGGGGTAGACCACAGTGTTAGCAATAGTCACTGTGGTGGTAGATTTAGTGATGACATGTGACTTTACTTAACCTGCAAGAACCACATTCTAAAAGTCTTCCTACTGCCAAAAGAGACACCTATGAATGACTGTTCATCTCATGATTAATCACATGTATGCTCAAAGCAGAAGTAGCCGATCCAAGTCACAGACTCGCTGTACACCTGCCCCTTAATGTCCAGCATGCAGCAGCACTTGCTGTGTAAAATAAAGAAGAAACTACATATTTGTAAAGAGGGATGACATAATTGGGAAAATGGCTTAAAATGAGAACAAAGAGAAACTGGAGCAGGAGAGAAACTGTGCTTCTAGTACATGACGTATATCAGAGAAATTATATATATATATATATGTATAAATAATTTCATGCTGCTCACAGTTTGCTTGCTTAGTTTACTCACTTCCTGGATGCCTGATCTCTTATTTTATCCCATAAACACAACATCTGAGCTTCAGACTGCATAAAATACACTAGAAAAAAAGACATTTATTAGTTTCTGACTTGGAGAATGTGGGAGAAACGTTAAAATTCCCACAAAACTGCTGTATCTTGGAACTGTCTCTTTTAGAAAATAACATTTTTAGGTTGTTCTATGTAATTTCGCTTTGACACCTAATCTAATATCTTTTCATTCCTGTTGTCTGAGCCTCCCTTGAACCTGTTTGGAGCCCTCATGGAGCCCTCCCACTTTGAAAGCCTCCGCTGCATGCAATGCATTAAAAATGATTGCATGCCGAATACATAAATAAATAAAAATCTATCAACTGTTGAGATCGTATGCAAACTCCCCATTTTGAATAATGTTTTTGCTTCAGCTAATATTTTGTGCAGAACGTGTTTGAGAAGGAGTGTGTTCTCCGGTTCCTGCACTGCAGCCAACCGACTGCAATTTTACAGCATAAGAAATCTAATAAATAGCTTTTATTCTGAAGTTTGCAAGTAGAATCATAGATGAGGGAGTTTTACTTTTACTTTCCAAATGTCACCCTGAGCCGTTTGATAGAAACGGGCTGTGGTGTTTGACACGCTGACTTGGAAGTGGTTTATGTTAAATCAGTCTGCCAGAGGAGCATCAAAGAAAAGAAGAAATACCTGCCTAAGAAAGTGAGCACCTTAAACCAAAAGCAGCTGCATCTGTCGGCTGTTTTCGATCCTGTGCACGTCTCGCCTCTGCCTAAGAACGCTTTGCTCGTACCAGTGATTTAAAAGCAGCAAAGGCCATGAAACGGCGTTTAGTCTGCGCTGCCATGTCGGCTGCATCTGTTACTCTACAGTTTTAATGTCTCGGATGCTTGTAGCGCAGCAGCGAGTCCACAAAACAAACACTCTGATTGTTGTTGCAGTGCAGTTCATCCTGTTCTGTTCTTCTGTTTCGTCGCCTGTTCTTCTTCTTCTGCTGCTGCTGCTGCTGTAAACAAATCACCTCTGCTGCTGCTTGGCTCAGATGGGAGGTTTCCTGTGTGACTTAGGGATGGTGTAATTGCTGATCTTGTGGTTGCACACTGAGACACACCACTCTGACATCAAAAGAAGAACTTCAACCCATACTGTTGACAGATAATAGCACATGACTGTCTATTGTTTCAGTTGAGACAGTCAGCATAAAGACTTTTAAGGACACAGTTGTGTGATCAGCTACAGTCTGGACCATGTCTTGACTTGTCTCATTAAGTATGTGATCCTGTTTCAAAGCAATGACAGAAACTACACCTTTACTCTGTCAGCCCGGACTAGTCTCAGCACGCAGAGCTTCTTGTTGTGTATCTCTTTGACCTACAAACTCCTGACGAGGCCCTGTCAGTGGTGTAATCCCAAGTGACCAAAACAGGACGATCTTGCTAAAGAGCTGCTGAAAGAATTTCCTGAACACTCAAAGAGTATCAGCATTTCTGAAGCCACCCGACTCGCTCTTAAAGGCAGTTCCTCTTCTTGTCACACCACGCTGCTGCATTTACACACTAAGGGAACAGATTGCATGTTTAGACCGCAAATACCGAGCAGCAGCCCGTGTTTCCTTTTATAAATCCATAAGGTGCTGCCTTGGAAGTCAGCATATTGATCCTCTTGGCTAATGCATTCATCCGTCATGCTGTTTTTTTTGTTTCCCTAAGTGAAATTCAGTCTGCTTCTCAGCCGTTTTAGAGGCTCCTAAGGGCACGCTGGCTCCAGTTCAGTGCTATCACACTGCATCCTGAGCACATTGTGCTGCCAGATTTCCAGGCAAAGGATATTAGTAAATCGTGTTTTTGTGCCTTCTGTGTTACCCCGTGGTAGACCTTGCACACTAAAGCAGAATGACCCTCATCTGCCAGCCGCTATTGGTATAAAGAATTAAAAAAATAAAAAATACATCGGATGTGTGCTTGTATTCCCTTGAATCACCTCAAGGTTTTCCTGCCACCCTGTAAAGTTTGGGTCAGACACAGTTCAGGGACAAATGTGGAAGCTTGGATCCATCCCACGCTGCAATGTAAGCAAAAGGAACATTTTTCCTCGGAGCAGCAGCTGAAGCAACAGGGCCTGAACTGCATTCCAGCACAGTGATGTGAGATTTAGTGCTGCAGCGGGAACCCTGAGAGGGCCGGGGTTGTGTGTTGAATGCAGATGTGCGGCACTTTGAGTTTCAGGCTGTTTTATTGACATTTTAATTACGATTCTGACACTTTCTTGGATGGCAGGTAGAAACTTGCCCATCCAGTTCAGGTGGTTTAGGTTTGAACACATACACTGGGCTCCCATGAGTTTTTGTGGTATTTGGGCCTCCAGGAACAATGTGATTTTAGCACCTGATTTTCTTTATCTCCAAAACTTGTTGAGGATTCAAATACTCTTTTATGCTATCAGTTGACGCTGCTTGTACACAAACACCTTTCAGTGTGACCAAACACAGAGCATTTACCTTACAAATCTCAAGGGAGCCCCACCCTGAGCTTTTTGAGCTAATCCATTCATGCCTGAGGGAGCTGTTTTCTTTCTTCCGACTGCCCTCTGGTGGAGCCTCATCACTGTGCTTGCGTTTGTGTAGCTGTGATTTACAAAGAAAGGTCTGTCTATTGCGCGGTGTGAAATTTTTGAGGTTAATATTTTGTCAGTGACAAACAGCTAATTGTCAGATTTTAAGTTCCTGAACTGAAAACAAACCGCAACAACAAATTGCTGATGCATGACCCCCCCGTCAGTAATACTTTGCTTTATCCTTCCCATATTTTTGCTTTATAGCTTCCATTGCCCTCACATATTCGCACTGTGATGATTAAGTGTTGGCATTACAGCACAGGAATCATAATAGCTCTATGTGGTGTGCTGGATTTTAAAAAAAAATAACATTGCACTGCCCTCTGTTGGCGTCAAAGTATAACTTCCGTCTCCTCTCGTTTCCTTAGGTGTTTCGAGGCCCTGGTGGTCTATTTCAAGGCAGGTAAAAAGGAAGAGCCTTACGTCACTATCTCCAGAAAGATCAGCCTGAAGAAGGGACAGGGGACGCCCATGGAGTGGGAAATCGGCCAGTCGGAGCGCATCCTGGCCATGCACAGGAACGCCTTCAAACGCACCGCCGTCATCCAGGCCTTTCTGGGCTCCACGCCTCAACTGACGCTGCAGCTGTACGCCACCATCCAGGAGAAATACATCCTGCCCATAAGATGTAAGACTCACTGAGGGGTCAGGCTTAAACAACTCCCAAAAAGTCTTGATCGTCTTTTTAAAAAATCACTGCTTTACAGGGTTTTATTCTTTGTAAGGTTAAAATTCATCTAAAAATGGATAAAGAAATGGTTTCCTTTAAGGCTGGCTGCTCTTTAAGACTTCATCCATCCATCTATTATCTATACACCACTTAATCCTCACTAGGGTCGTGGGGGGCTGGAGTCTATCCCAGCTGACTTAGGGTGAAGGCAGGAGACACCCTGGACAGGTCACCAGTCTATCACAGGGCTACACTTAGAGACAGACAACCAAGCACACTCACATTCACACCTACGGACAATTTAGAATCACCGATTAACCTCAACATGTTTTTTGACCATGTGGGAGGAAGCTGGAGAACCCAGAGAGAACCCACACTGTATGGGGAGAACTTGCAAACTCCACGCAGAAAGATCCCGGTGTCCTCACGGGACGCAAACCGGCGACTTTCTCGCTGTGAGGCCACGGTGCTAACCACCGAGCTACCTTGCAGCCGTCTTTAAGACTCATCGCCTTGAATTATTACCGTACAAATGAAGCTGCCAGTTTTACTGTATGTAAATGTAGTAAACCAAACGTGGAGGGTTTTAAAATGGAGAGAGTGTTGTGTCATAACAAACCGAAACAGCAGCAAAACTAAGACTCTAAAGCTGAAAAAAATCTTTCCATGAATGCAACATCAAGAGTTTACAGTCAGACTGGCAGATCTGTGAGGCTGCATGCTAATGTTAAACAGGTGTGATGTTTACAGTCATAGTTTGGTTTGTTAGCGTGTTAACCTTTGACATTTAGCAATAAGCACAGTGCAGCTTTTTCACCTGATGATGGCGCTAGAGGTAAAATTATGTGAATTCATTCTGACGAGTGAATTTCATGGCAGTCGGTCCAACAGTTGGTGCAGATGAGTACCTAGAGTAAATCAATAAATATGAACATACAGGGCTCAGTGAGTCTGACACCACTACTGAAGATACTTCTGTTTTCTTTTTTATTTCAGATTTAATTTGAAATTACAAGTTGTACGTATGAGGTTATCAATAACTGAACTGGGGAAACTGTTTATGGATTTCAGAATGTTGTAGTTTGTGCTTTAATGACAGCAGCCGTGGAGCTGCGTGGAGTGAAACCTTTGTTATCCCAGCAGCATCTAACAGTGTTTCAAAGAGCTTCTTGTCAGATTAGGAATGTTTGGCCCTCTCAGTCTTTGTCAGTGACTGTGGAGGAAGTTAATGACACTCAGCGCTCTTTGGTCCTCTTTGGCCTTTAGGGTGAAGTCGAACAGGTGGAGGTAAAACCTCCACAGGCTAAAATCCTCCCGCCAGCATGTTTTGGGTTTTATACGCTGCAGTATAATTCTCTCTCCTGTTCGTCTCCTCACATACACCTTCTTTTACTGCCACTCATCTCACACTGGGATTCATCAGTAAATAGGACATTTTCCAGTCATTGTTTGGGCTTGTTTCCTCTCATGGGAAGTGGTTTAGAGACCTTCTTTGTCCTCTGTCACTACTACACAGCCTACTTCAGACTGGAGTCTTCTGTATCTAATGAAGCTGCTTTTTTAATCTATCATTAAATAAACAAAGCTTTATGTATTGGCCTTCTGATAGTGTGTTCACTTTTAGTCTGCCGGATTGTGCTTTGGATACAACCGAGCCAGTTTCCACAAAGTGTTTCAGAACTCTGTGCACTGCCCCCTTGGAGACCTTCGGTTTAGTTCTGACTTGATGCTGAGAAAGGCCCTCTTTGCACAGAACAACAATCTGACTTCTGACACTTTCACTTAGTTCTAATGTTTCCTACCATCCCTGTGTGATTCAGTGAGCAACACTCTGCTGGAAACTTGGGGCACAGCCATATTTATACCAGGTGAACAATGGCTGCAGGTTGATTTACTTCAACAAGCAGATCAAATCCGCTCAAGTGTCATGTTGCAATGGAAAGATACAACTAAAGGAAGTCTGAAGGAGTTAACATGGTCACTGCTACGAATCTGCACAAATAGTCATTCTTCATTTTGCATATCACTGCTTCTTGTTTTTAAATGTTTCTAAAGCCTTAAATTGTCCTCATTATTTCCATGTTTACATTAAATTTGCTAGATTTTCCATGTGGTCTCAGATTGTTGAACTACAGTTCTGATAACTTTGAGACCTTTAATGAGAAGACATTTTCAAATAGTTTAATGCTGCTGTTGGTATTTGTAGACTCTAACATTTGACTTCTCTCTGCATTCACAGTGGCTCTGATGATCATCACCCTGATCTCCATCACATACGGGGCTCTGGTGTGCAGCGTTCTGGCCATCCAGATCAGATATGACGACTACAAGGTGCGGTTGCGCCCCGTGGCGTACCTCTGCATGATAGTGTGGAGAGGTTTGGAGATCGCCACCCGGGTCACGGCTCTGGTCCTCTTCAGCACGGCTCTCACTCACTGGGTGATCCTCGTTGGCATCATTAACCTGCTGTTCTTCTTCTTCCTCCCCTGGGGTGAATTCTGGGCCAGGAAAGGCTCGTTAACTGAGAACGTTGAGAAGAACTTCTCTAAGCTGGGCACCACCGTGGTGCTGTGCATGTTCACGTTGCTGTACGCCTGCATCAACGTCTTCTGCTGGTCGGCGGTGCAGCTCGACTTCACCCATCGAGAACTCATCGACAAGAAGCAGCGCTGGGACCGCCTGGCCATGTACTACAGCGGGCGCTTCCTGGAGAACTTCCTCCTCATCACACTCTGGTACTTCTTCAAGTCAGACTTCTACGAGTACGTGTGCGCCCCCATGCTGGTCGTCCAGCTGCTGATCTGCTACAGCCTGGCCGTGATCTTCATGCTGCTCTTCTACCAGTTCTGCCACCCTTGCAGGCGCCTCTTCAAGTACAACGTCCACGACTGCCTGCACTGCGTCTGCTGCCGTAAAGGGAAGCGCGGCGGAGAGAGCGGCAGGCGGGGGAATCTGCCGCCCTCGTACTCCACCGCTGCCACCATGGTGCTGGCGCCGGAGGAGCCGCTACAGCTGCTGGACCCTCACAACTCACAACCTGTCGACCTCACCGGTCAGCCAGGAGAGCGAGAGACGGACATCGTTGATGAGATAATGGAAGCAGCCTGAGAAAAGCCTCGTGAGGAATTTAGTGTATAAACTGGTGCAGAAATGCATCTTGGGAATAGCTAGTCATGGTGCTGGTGCTTCCTCTGAATGAGGCTTTGGGTAGTGAAACACAAAAAAACAACAGGTTTTTGTGTTTTAGTCTCAGTGAAGACGATGTGTTAGAGAACAAATGTTTGCCTTTTTTCTTCTAAGTGCACAAAACTTTACTCATTTATGGCTCTGAGAGGGATTCAGGCTAACTACTGATGTCTTTATCGAGGGTGATTGCATACACTTGGGGCACCACGAGGCCCCGGTATACCAAAGAATGTAGCACGTCGAGATATGCAGCAATGCACAAAGGCCGCTGTTGAGAGAGCAGCACTGAGCCAGGTGTGGGGGAGATGTGCCAAGAGTGTCTGAAGTGACCGAAACACTGACCAGGACACCCAACCTCCCAGTTTACGTCCTCTCTGGGTTTTCTCACTGCGAAAGCCCCTTGTTGCACACATTTCCATCTGCACTAAACTTTAAATAAAAAAAAACACTGTAGGCAAGAAAAGGTCAGAAAAAAAGAAGATTAATTTATCTTCCTCATACCCAGCGGCTGTGATGAATGCCTTGTGTTGTTCACTGTCAGATCTGGTTGCCTTGGTTTAAAAAAAACAAAAAAACAACAGGTTTTAGTGTTGTGGGGGGAAAAAAGAAACACCAATAGGTGATGAGAATACTGTGGAAAAACGGCTTCTGCGGATCATATTCGTGTGTCCTCTGTGACTTACAGGTAATTCAGAATTAATCTTACATTCGATGCTGCGTTAACAAGACTGACACTGAATGAGCTTCTTCTTTATTAAAGTGCTTTTGCTTTTTTTTTTTAATGTTTCATGCTGTTGGTTGATACACTGCCTTGACTACTGTTGTATTACTTGAACAATAAATAAAACAATGTCAAAATACCTTCACTTTCTTCCCTTTTTTTTCTTTATTTTATCCTAAATTAAATAAACTGCACACCTGTTTCCTTCCCACAAGCACAATTAAACGTGATTGTTTAATCCAAACTAATTGCGTAAGTGACCGCAGGGTTAAATTTCCCATGTTCACGGATACTTCCTCATTCCTGGCGGTAGGAATGTGGTCATTCAGCTCCGGGGAGGAGGGGCTCATCCTCTAAACTTCCCCAATAACGCAATTTCACTCGCTGCAAGACAAGTTTCCTCGTGGCTCGTCGTCATTACACCTGCGCGGGGGGAGGGAGGAGTCCGAGCAGCAGGTATAAAAACAAGAAGCGCAGGTAAGCTGAAGATGCAGGACAGCTGCTGCTACGGCTCCAGGTAACGTGCTCAACATGGGGAACTGGATTATCAACAATGGATTTACATCCTTCATGCTGGTGAGTTCTTCATGTTAACATTTTTTGTGGTCGGATAAGAATTTACGCACAGCTTCTGTGCGTAAAATACCGAGTGTCAGTGTCCAAACTCTGTAGTCCTTGGAATTAAACTGCGTTTTTTTTCATGGTGGAAACATGATCCTTGGCTGTGTTTGCAGGTGGTCTGGATGGGCATCAACATCTTTCTTTTTGTCTGGTTTTACTTCTTCTACGACCTGGGGGATCAGTTTTTCTACACGCGTCATCTTTTAGGGGTGAGTACAGAGACTTAAGGCTCAGAAGACATGTCACATGTTTGTTCTTTGATTTTATTTAATGATGCAGGAAGCACTCATCTAAGTAAAGCTATCAATATAACAGTAAACCAATACTTCATCACTGCATTCACAATCATACCTGTGTACTTTTTTAGCAGAACAAATGCTCCTGTAGCTGACATATTCCTGGATGACATTACATAAACGATATTTAATGGTTTAATTGCTGAGCTGAGGTTCCTTAACTTTCCGTCGGGGCCCCTTCAAAGGTCTCAAGATAAATGAGGGTTTCTGATGATTGATAGGGCAAAATGGAAGAAAAAAAAACACATTTCTGTTACCCAAACTTAGATATTTTTTTCTGTTTTAATCTGAGCCTTTAGTGAAATAATGACAAAACCTTATATCTGTGTGCCTTAAATTGTTATTTAAATTAAGCTAAAGTGCAAAATTTGAAAGGAATATTTCTCTATGATTGATCTACTTCTGAAAACAGGCCCTATAATTTTATTTTGTGAACATGAAAAGCCAGAAAAGTTGGACAACACTCCCCCAATCTGTATCGGCATATAGTTTTATTTATTGTGTAATCTTAATCTGTAAATAAACTGTAGCTTTCAGATAAATACAGTAGAAGCAGATTTAAATAGAAATAATCCGTCAAAAAATTACCTCAATTGTATTTAATTATAGCAAATGCATAGAATTCCTCTACTGCTTTTCTTGAAGTCAGACTTACATGCATGCATATGTAATTGTTATTCCAGTCTGCCCTGGCCTGGGCCAGAGCTCCCGCAGCTGTCCTCAACTTTAACTGCTTGCTGATCCTCCTCCCGGTGTGCAGGAACCTGCTGTCTCTGATCCGAGGCTCCTTCGTGGTAAGCTCACGGTGTTTACATGTCACAGCGGGGCGAGGCACGCTGAAATCATGCTGTCATTATCTCTTAAAGGTCAAGTACTCCCGTGCTGACGACCAGTTTGACTGCTGCACATCCAGGAAACATCTGTGATATGTTCACACCAAGCTTGTGTTCTTTTCATGTTGTGGTATTTATATACTTGTTCTCGTAGTTTAATCATAGCGACTTGACTTGCTTGGATTCCTTGAAGACGTTTCATCCAAGAGGCTTCATCAGTTCTGACTGACTAGTTGGGAGTTCCGCATACTTCTATCCTTAAGGAGCCATGAACACTTGAGTTTTGGTTTCGTTAGTGCTCCCCCTGCCACAAAGGGGGTCGTTAGGGTCTTTTGTGGGTAGGTGTGACTGTGGTTTCATCTTCCTGGGGAGAGTTCTTAGGATTGAATTGTAAACAGGTGAGAGGTGATGCCTCACACCTCCACCTCTGTTGAGTGATTGTCTTTCCAGTTTAACATAGATGGCCTCTTTCCCTCCTCTCTCAAACAATCTGTCCCCTCCTGGCCAAAATCTGGACATTATTATTATTATTATTATTATTATTAGTCACTCAGAACTGATGAAGCCTCTTGGATGAGAGGTGAAACATCTTCAAGAAACTCAAGTAAGTCCAGTTGCTACGATTGAACTACAGGAATAACCATGACCTGGATGACTGAGAATCTTCAGACATATTTATATATTTGTTAAACATATGTGTGTATTTCAACCTCAGAGAGTGACTTTTAATGCTATGAAATATTTTATATATTGTTTGCCGAAATTTTTCTGCTGAACAGAAGTTCAGGCCAGTCGGCCTGATGCAGTTTTTTTTGATGCACTTATGAATCATCATTTTGAATATTCACCAAGAATTTTGAACAAACTGGAATAAGTCTTTAGATGTTGTTGTGCGCGCTTGACTGCAAAATCTGACCAAAAACTGAACAGTTCATATTTGTCATTATTCCACCTCCAACATCCGGCTCTATTAATAGACACAGGTTGGCTTGCTTTCTGTTGTGGAAAGAGGCTTCTGCCATGTTTCACATTTCTTTCCTTTCCTTGTCTTTGCAGTGTTGCAGCAGAACAATGAGGAAACAACTGGACAAAAATTTGAGTTTCCACAAACTGGTGGCGTACATGATTGCACTGATGACAGGTGAACTGATGCATGCATTTTGCCTTCAGTCTTATCTTTCTTCTGAATGCTTTCCAAAAGATGGTTCAGCTGTCCTTATCTTAAGCAGACCTTAAACAGACAATATTCATAGTTTCAGTCAAAAGTTGTGATTGGCTTTGTTAAAAACAACATTGTTGTTAAGTTGATTTCTCTGCATCTTATTTTGCTGCTGCTGTAGTTGTAAATTTGAGGCGAGGTGAATGGTTGTCCCCAGCAATAAATGAGAATGCGAGAGAGACAACGTCAAACAATTTAGGGAAACTGATCGGGAGTTTCAAAAATGCATTCTTCAGCCCTGCACAGCTCTCGTGCTTTGTTTACTATCCTGCACACTGTGCAAACATGTCTGACCTGCAAGATAAGCTGCAGGTGCCTCAGTTATCAGGAAATGTTCTCAGGCTGACACAGAAACAGATTTCAGTCCATTCTCATGGTGCGTCACAAGGTGGTAAACTCATAAAGTCAGAATTATGAGGAAAGAGTGGGAGCCAGACAAAATCTTAAACAAATAAATAATGGCTTAGGGTGTATTTAACAGAACTTCCCTTCAGAGATAAGCAAAGATCAACTTCAGCACCGCAACATTCGACAACTCATAGATTTTTGCAGTTCTTTTAAACATTCTAGCAGAAAATCAGTTATGTGGAAAACATGTCTTTACTTTTATTTGCTAAAAACCCAAGCATACATAAAATGTCCATATACAAGAAAGTAAGAATTGAATTGAGGATGTTTCATTAAAATATATTTCTTTCTAAACACAAAGCATTATTTGGGACAGAAACAAGCATAAATCGAATTGCAGTGACATGTCTCCTCTGTGTGTTCTGACAGCGGTTCACATGATCGCCCACTTGCTGAACGTGGAGTGGTACAACAACAGCAGACAAGGTGTTTATGATAATCTCAGCACAGCTCTGTCCAACCTGGCGGACACAGACAACACCACCTACCTGAACCCAATCCGCACAACCAACCTCGTAAGTCATCCACAGATTACAACAAAACTGTCATAGTAAAATTTAACAAACCCCCAAATGTGCAGTGAAAACTTGGGTGCGGAATTCCAGTCGATGGTCAAAATGAATTCATGTATAAACCTTAGAAATAGCGTTTAGAGTGTGACACAGAGCTGTAGATTTTTGAAGGTTTAACAGTGGAATGGCCACCTTTAGCTTACATTGAAAATTAAGCAGCTATCTGATAAACGTCAATCAAAAATATAATTAATTTAAAAACTTTAAAATGCAGAGGAATTAAATTAGAAAGTGTCACAAAGTACAAATGAAAACTCAGAAAACATCGAGAAAGGGTTAATTGTAAACGTAGCAGAGTAATAAAATAAAAGATGTAGGCACACTTTAAAAAAATAAAACTTAGCAAAAAAAATTAAACAAAAAGCGTAAATAGTACGCAATTTGATTGATTTTTATTAAAGTAGTAAAAAAAATTTTTTAAAACAAAAAGTTAAAAAGTATTCTTAAGCAGCTTGGACAGTTAAAAGTAATGCAAAAAGTAATAAAATAGTTAAATAATGTTGATAAAGGTTAAAGTGAACAAATGCTTGAGATAACTCACTTAAAGCATGGCTTCTATTTGACATTTTAAGCTTATACACCTTTCAGACTGTTTGCTAGGATTGTGGATAAATTGTTAAAATAATTAGCCAAATTACAAACACAACTTGCTGATAGTATGAATAACCTGTTCAAAGTATTAGAATTATGGTAATTGTAAGCTTACATTTAGGCTAAAATCATTGAAAGTATGGATTAACAGTTAAAACTATTGCAAGTATTTCATTTAAAATGTTGACATTGTTGGCTTAAAGTACGGCTACCAGTTGAAATTGTTAACTAACTGAATGGGCAAACAGTTGGAAATGTTTGCTAAGAGTAGGCTATAGATAAACTGAATTATTACCTAAAAGGATGGATAAATGGTTAAAACTGTTAAAAGTATGGTTTAAAAAAAGTTCAAATTGTTGGCCTGAAGTATTGAGAAACAACTGAAATTGTTATGAACAGAAATAGCTAGCTAAAATTAGCAGTAAATAGTTTGAAAGTTGTAGCTAACAGTACGGCTAATGGTTGAAGATTGTTACATAACAGTAAGGATTAACTGTTAAAAAAGGAAGTATTAGATAGACATTAAAACTTAAAACTTATCTCTATAGCATTGTCTTAGCCCTGGAAGATAGAAAAATACAAATATAGCTCAGACTTGCGTCAATAAATAGCTATATGATTTATAAAAAAGTGGTGGGAACCAGTGCTCTAAAGAACCAGCTCCTTAGAATTGTATTTAAGCAAAATTTTTATGTATGACATCATAATGCTACCATGCTAATTTTAAAGTTGTGCCACCTTATTAATTATCTTAGTTTACTGTTGTCATCAAGAGAACCTCAGGATTGAGAATAGCCAGATGAAAGGCTATAATCCTACGGGGACATGAACTGCATTTTTTTGCCATTGTATCCCATTCCTGTTAATATATCTCACTCAAAATCCTAGACATCACCCTCATGGTGTGGCATCAACAAAGTTATGTGGATACATCATCTGGAAACCTTTTCGTTTAAAATTTTGTGTCAACCACTCAAGCAGATGTGGAGAGTTTTCCTTCATAAAACTTGGCCTGCTGGTGGTGCTACAGAAAAAACAACAACACAGGAAATCACCAAGTTGCTATCATTTTGTGGCCATCCATCATACAGTTATTTCACAGAAAACCAAAACTGCTGCTGTTTGGGTGTAACTTGAATGTCACAATATCTGGAGGCCAAAATAGACAAAGCAAAGTCCGTGTAGTCACGCCTTGAATGTCTTTAATGCTCGGCTGGTGTTGCTGTTGTGAAAGAAACCTCACGTGTTTCTTCTTGTGTCTCAGGATCCGCAGCAGATTCCCACCTACTTCGTGTTCACAACCATCGCTGGCCTCACGGGCGTCATCATCACTCTGGCGCTCATCCTCATCATCACCTCGTCCATGGAGGTGATCAGACGCAGCTACTTTGAGGTCTTCTGGTACACGCATCACCTCTTCATCATCTTCTTCGCGGGTCTCGTCTTTCACGGAGCCGGGTACGAGACACATCTCGGCTCTTCTTTTCTCGCACTGGAACGTTGTTGTAGGTTCTGCAAACAGGTTTGACTTGTGCTTCTTCACTGGCAGGCGCATTGTGCGGAGTCAACAGACGACAGATCCACCTCACAACTTCACCTTTTGTAAAGACCGCAGTGACGACTGGGGAAAGATTCCTGAATGTCCCGTCCCTCAGTTTGCAGGAGGGTTCCCGCAGGTCCGTCTTTTTCCATTTCAGTTAACTTTACCTGCGACAACTGCTGCTACAATATAAGCCTCTCAAGTGAAATGTCAATAATTTAATCCCATTTCTGCTTGTTTTTCTCAGACCTGGATGTGGGTGATCGGCCCAATGATTCTCTACATTTTTGAACGAGTGCTTCGTTTCATTCGTTACATGCAGACAGTCAAATACAGGAAGGTACGTTTGATTGATTCACCATTCACCCGTTGGATTGTTTTCTACATTTTCTCAACGCGTGTGCTTTGCTTTCAGATCGTGATGCGTCCGTCCAAAGTGCTGGAGCTGCAGCTGGTGAAGAACGGTTTCAAAATGGAGGTGGGTCAGTACGTCTTCCTCAACTGCCTGGCCATCTCTCAGCTGGAGTGGCACCCGTTCACCATGACCTCTGCCCCTGAGGAGGACTTCTTCAGCGTCCACATCCGCTCGGCCGGAGACTGGACCGATAAACTCATCGACATCATGCAGAAGCTACCAGAGGGAGCACAGGGACCCAAGTAAGTCATCCTTTGCAGCCAGCACAATGTCTTTGCTTTTGCAGCGAACACTGTTGTTGGAATTTTGTTCTGAAAGCAACTTTTTTTATTATTTCTATTTGATTTTTAAGGGAAGTTTATTCCTTTTTAGGCAGGATTGGTATTTTATGCACTGTAAGGTTTTAGCAATTTTGAACTTTTTTGCCTGCTTCCACTTTTTCTGGGCAAAAACCTAAACCAATCGGTAGCCATCTTGGTAACAACTCTAGGCAGCTATTTCAGATTTTCAAGACCAGGTTCCTGTCTAATTGAACAGAAAGAGAGCCAGAACTACCATTTCAATGGTCACTGGCGTATGGTATGTAGACTAGCCACTGCTAAACCTTCAAAGCTGCCTTAGAAGCTTGGTAGCTTTGTCCCAAAACTAAGTTTAAATAGGCTTTTACGACACGTCATACCTTTACCACTCAAAATTTCCTGACAGTGCCACAACACAATTTTGGTTGAATCTTTCCATGTTCGGCTGTTGTAAAGCAAAAAAAAGGCTTTTTGGGTGAGGGGACAAGACCTCTGCTATAGATTTCTATTAAGTGGTTTGTCTCTTCCTTGTAACACCTCTGCTGGAAGGTGACACGAATACATGACTATTTAATAAATACAGCTAAAAGTATACAATTCTACTAATGTATTCATCACACATTTGAGTAATAGAATAATAGGTACCACCTGCAATGTACAACATTTAAATGAAATGAAAGCCATTTGTCAAACACGGTGTTTAACTATTAGCTCTTTTTGATGGAAACTGTGCTTACTTTAAGTCAATTTTATTTGTATAGCGCTGTTTACAACATATGACATCTTACAGTGCCTAACATAGTGAAGCATAGACCTTCCAAATTTCAACTTGAAAAGAAAAACAACACGCATTCCAGCTACATCCTAATGTTTTCAGTGATACAGAATCTAAAATACAGTCACAAAACAACGTCACTCTTATGTTGTGTGGTTATTAAAGTCCACAATAAATCTTTGTTCGTGCCTCTTTAAAACGTAACATCTGTGAAAGGATCAAATTCCCCCTGTCTGACCTTTTTTTTTTTTTTTTTCATTTTACTGGAATTTCCCAAACTTTGGAGGGATTTTTAAAAAAAAAATTGTCCAAATGTATTGAATAAATGACCTCTTAATCAAGCTATACGTATGCAGTTTTCACCACTTTGTAAAGAGATGGATTACAACATGCCAGTTCAGAGACAAGCCTCACCATAGAAGACCCACTGATCATTTCGCACAGTTTTATCAGCAGATGGAGTTTAGCTCAGTTCAGTTGTTGAGGAACTCTTCAAGTTTCCAATTTATGTATTTTTTCTCAGCACTTTAATGTCTCTTTGCCATCATTTGTTTGCTGAGTTTTGTGTCTTCCCTCAAAAAGGCACTGAAATCTGTCCTGGGCTATAAGCGGTATGATGTGGTATGTGGCACTGGTCCATGATACATTCTTGTCCATATAAAAATAAATGCTAAGACTTTTTTAGTCTTCCGTTTTCTAATGTTGGGAATGGACTGTGACCCTTACATCAGACTGGAAGAGCTTCAGGTCATATCATCTATGCAAGGCTGTGATCCCTGTGGGGATGAAAATACAGTATGTTTAAACTCTATTTGCTGTCTGCCATGTGACTCCCACATAAAAAGAGTTGCAGTACTAAAAATGTGAGGTAATGAAAAAAAGGATGGCTTTGTAAAGTTTTTTTTGGTTATTGGACTAAGAATTTACTCCTCATAAATGACGTGCGTATTTGTTGCAGGTGCACATTGATTTAAAGCTGGAGTTTAGGACTTTGGCATTAAATGTACATCTGTTACATCCAAGTTCTTGCCTAAAGAGTTCACACACTGCTGGTGAAGCATATCAGCGCCACATGAATCTCTCTGTATTTTATAGTTTACCAGAGTTGGTGTCTGGTGTCTGTGGCTGAAGAGATAAACAACTGTAAGACAGAGACTGAGTATTCAACAGCAATTAGCAGTACGGCAGGAAAACCTAGGAAGTATCCAAGAAAGATTTCTGAAGCGTTACATTAAAAACAAACGACTAAATAAATAAATCTGGCATTCAGAGGACAGATTATAATCTAAAAAAAGAAACCTTTTGACAGTGAAACATACATCTTAAGCACAAGTTGACTGTACCAAACGAGTTTGATATATGGGTAATTAAAATTTAAATACTGAGAACCTTTGTCTTGCTGTCATTCAGTTGTAGAAACTCTTTGACATGACATGTGACAGAAGATGTGTTTTGCTTGGTCTCAAGTAGAGCTGCTTGTCATCAGCATAGCAGCGATGAGGAATGTTTAATTCTCTAAAAACACACCCCAGTGGGAGCAATGAAATTAAAAAGGGCCTACGATGAAGCCTTGAGGTACACCACAGGAGATAATCCAGACACATTGTAGTTTGTGTGTATGTTTTTGTTTCTACATCTTTGTCTCTCATAAACTGGCATCTCCAACCTGTGGACTTCTTATTTAAAATGTTTTGGTTGTCACCATCAGTTTGTTTGTCCTGATAGCTGATTTGATTTCTTGTTCATCCTCAGAATGGGAGTGGATGGACCTTTTGGCACAGCCAGCGAGGATGTGTTCGACTATGAGGTCAGCATGTTGGTTGGTGCCGGCATTGGCGTCACCCCCTTCGCCTCCATCCTCAAGTCCATCTGGTACAAAATCAAAAACGGCAATTCCACACTGCGCACCAGGAAGGTAAGAACTCAAACAATCGGTCTGTTTCTCACATTTAAACCTGTAGATCTGTATCACTGCTTTGACAAACTGCTGCACTTGATTGATGTGAGACAAGACCTGCTATTGTCTTTTTAAATAAAGAGTTCTGTGTGTTTTAGCAAGACGCCATGTAAGAGGACGAGTCATCGGCAGCGTGGCCTGCTCTTTTGTAAGAGCACCATTGTTTCACATGCCTGCATCTGCTTCCTGGTTTCAGATTTACTTTTATTGGCTCTGCCGAGAAACGCACGCCTTCGAATGGTTCGCCGACCTCCTGCAGGTGTTGGAGAGGGAGATGGAGGAGAGAGGCCTGGCGGACTTTCTCACCTACAACCTCTACCTGACCGGTTGGGATCAAAGCCATGTATGTGTGTGAATCATACGTTCAAAGTCCAGATGAACAGTGAGAAGTCACCTCATGTTAAACTCAGCTGTGTTGTGTCTCTGCAGGTTGATCACGTAAAGGTTCGCTTTGATGAGGACACAGATGTGGTCACTGGGCTCAAACAGAAAACTCACTATGGCCGACCGATCTGGGACAAGGAGTTTGAACAAGTCCGCAAAGAAAACCCAACGTAAGACACAATCCTAATTTTAGAAAATACAAAAATATCTTCAGTTCCCTGTTGAAATGAAATCAATACATGACTACTGCTCTGAACCACAGAGGGAGAATATATTTAGATTAAATCCTGAAGCCAATGTAAAAATACCTTGTAAGTAAAAGTCCTGCATTCAAAATGCAAAGTTTCAAGTACTCCTCTGGCATGAAAAGGGGAAACACTGACATGCTATGTGTCCTAGTACTTAATTTTATTTAGATATATTTTACTCACTAGAGTCATTTGACCTGAAATTACGAGTTATGTGATTGTTTTTTAAATATGATGCATTATTCACGTAACAAAATCTGCTTATTGGATTGAGTTTTTTTTTTTTTTTTTTTAATCCCAAAGTACAACTTGCTTTTTTATGCAAATTGACTTTTTGAAAAATTTACATTTCTTGTCAGTTTTTTTTGGTTTAATCAGTTTACACACATGTATAGAAACATGTTTTCACCCTGTCATAATGGGAGTAGAAGTATAAAGTAGCTGAAAATGGAAGTCATCAAGTTCCTCACAACTTTGATTCAGTTCAGGATTTGAGTAAATACTCAGTCACCACAGCCCACAGGCTCACTTTTCTCATTTTAACCTGACTTTCTGTCATCAAACTCTTCGTTTTGTTTTGGCTGTTCTCAGGTCCGTGGTGGGAACTTTCTTGTGTGGCCCTGTGGCTCTCGCAAAAGTCTTGGAGAAGAAATGTGCCAAATACTCAGATGTGGATCCTCGCAAGACCAAATTTTACTTCAACAAGGAGAACTTCTGAGCAAACAAAAAAAAAGTCTCAGCACGTCGGATTTCTGAAGGACAACAATTAGTGTGGGATTTTTGTCACTACAGACTATCGGAAGTTAATGATGATGACAAAGCTGCCAGACAGCTGGTGTGACAGGAACGGGTGTGTTTTGGCACTTTAATCTATACGGCTTCTACTAAAGAGGCGTGGAATGTTGTTATTTTAGCAGTACTCAGAGACTGGCTCTCTCTCTATTTAGATTCTAGCCTTGTATTGTGATGAAATCATAAATCTTTGTGGTTGTATAAGCTATGATTACGTAGCCGTTTTATTTTAGGCTGCATTCCTAATGAAGTCTTCCTAGTTACTGAACAAGATTACAGGAAAGAATTTTAATGTTACAAGGTCACATGGACCTCAATTTCTTGTGTCATGACACCCGCCTCAGCGTACTAAAATGTCAAGTGTTGGATCATGTGGAAAACTGATTTTTATTTTTATTGCACAAATACTACCTTAAATTAAAGCAGTGTGAAACTGGATGTTCTTGTCTGAGTGCATACATGGAACTTAACTACTGGTGTAGCTCAGTTATGGCTACAATTATTTACTAGAAATGTCCAAAAACTGAAAAATCCCCAAATTCATGTCTTCAAAATGTTTTGTTTTTAAATCAAGCCAATCGTCCAAAACTCAAAGAGCAAATCACCAATTTAGGAATCTTTTTTCCTTGGGGGGGGGAAGAAAAAAAAAAGACATATCAATTATATTTTTATAGTTGGGGCTGCAGGGTGGCGCAGTTGGTAACACTGCTGCCTCGCAGCAAGAAGGTTGCCGGTTCGCGTCCCGGTGGGGGCACCGGAATCTTTCTGCGTGGAGTTTGCATGTGCAGTGGGTTCTCTCCAGGTTCTCCGGCTTCCTCCCACAGTCCAAAAACATGTTGAGGTTAATTGGTGATTCTAAATTGTCCGTAGGTGTGAATGTGAGTGTGCTTGGTTGTCTGTCTCTAAGTGTGGCCCTGCGATGGACTGGCGACCTGTCCAGGGTGTCCCCTGCCTTCACCCTGAGTCGGCTGGGATAGGCTCCAGCCCCCCCGCGACCCTAGTGAGGATTGAGCGGTGTATAGAAAATGGATGGATGACTAGTTGTTTTAGCTCTAATGCAGCATGTTTAATATCATGTTACATAGATGATATGACCTGAGTAAAAACACTGTATATAACATGTTGTGTTACAAGGTAAAAACAAAAACTCTCGAACTCCAAAATATTTGAAATTGGACCCGTTGGTTTATTTTCCCAGAGTTACCAGTTAAGGAAACAGGTTTCCAGGAAACCGACAATAGGTATTACAACCTGTCAGACTTTGGTATTTCCTCATCAGAATGATATAAAATCAGGAGGAAGCCTGTCAGTCACGTAGCTGTGGTTAATCATCCTCTGAACTCACAGCACAGGAAGAGTTTTTTGCATTAACTTCTTAAAGGCGTTCCTTGTGTACAATTTTGAACTCCTCTTGAATAAACAAATGAAGACAGTGAAGGTATTCTTTCATTTTATTGACAAAACAATTTCCAGAGCTACGATGTGACAGCAGTTGGCTTTGGAGGACAAACATGAAACCTCATGACATTCTTGCTTTGCCTTCACATCAACCTCTCAAAAGTTTCACTTCTTTTTGTATCCACTTGCACCAACCTTAGTCTTTCATACAAAACAGACAATATGATTAAAAAACTATACAATATTCTGAACTACGATGACACATCTTCAGACTTGTTCAAGCTGCTGGCAGCTGAGTCAGGGAGTGGCAGACTGCAAGTCCTGACATAATGAAGTGGAAAAACAAATGAGGGAGGAAAGCACAATCATGAGTCAGGAACAAAGTTGCTTCATGACAATACAGCAATGTTTTAAAAAAAAAATGGCAATTTTCCAGTGAGGAGGAAAATTAAGATGGAACAACAAGAAACTCCACCTCTGCTGTTTCAGAATTTTGTCTGTCAGAATATCAAGGTGCTCCACTAGCAGTCTTCTGAATCTGCTCTTTGAGGATGAGGATGCTCTGCCGCTGCTCCGGGGGCAACATGGCGATCTGTTCTGGGGTCAGCTGTAGGACCTGCATGATCAAGGCGGCCTAAAGACGGATAGAAGAAAAGAATTTAGAAAAAGAATCTCTACTCAGAATACCTCCTCAAAAAGCTGTTGTTGTGTTTAAAGTTCACCAACTATTGTTTTGATGATTCACACATTCACCATCATTGAATGAGAACGCAAAAAAGAACAAGCAACTCGCTCAGAGGAGCTGTGACATGCTGCCGAGGATGAAGCTCCTCTGAGAATTCCTTGTCACTGATGAAGGGTTTGTGCAATGATGTGTATGTCTCGCTACAAAATATTTAGATATTATTATTATTTACAGACTGAGGATCTGGTTTGTTATAAGACAACAGTGATAGATTAAGGGATGCCCACCTTCTCCTGATCCTGTGTGGAGACCTGACTCTGGCCCGGACTGAAGCCTCCTCCTGCTGGAGGAACACCAGAGATACCAGGACCCTGCAGGACAAACGCACCATCAGTTCTCACTGTTTTTCAAAGTACAATTCGAGCAGATGACACTGATTGCTGGTTCACCTTTGATCCCTTGATTTACGATGCTTTCATACAATTTAACTGACTAATAACTGATAAGATTCATTGTCACATGTCATGACTCATCTACAAAACGATAGGACAAACAAGACTTAATAATTATGAGTAACAATGACCTACATACTTTCCCAACAAATTAAATTGCAGATTTTTTATTTTTTTTTGGTTTGCAGACACAAGTCTAGGTCAATGAGTGTCCATAAAAACTGAATCAGATGTAACCGTTACCGGTCTTGCAGGTGGAGGAGCGTTTGGACCCATGCTATGAGGGACAGGGCCTGGCATTCCTGCTGCTATGGGAACCCTCTGACCCGTCACTGGCCCACGAGTGTCCATCGCCCTCGGGTCACGGCCTGCAGAAAGAAAACACAATTCACACCTTGTTGGATTCTGAGCCAATCACTGTAGCTTACACTGGGTGAGAAGGAAGGACAGTGTAACATTGCATCGTGCACAACACCGACATTGTTGAACAACAAGGAACTTTGATCCAAACATAACAATAGCAGCCAAAAAAAAAAAAGTTTTCCATATCAAACATGCGATCATTTTATAAAAACCTCTTGCTAGGACAGAGAACTTTTGTTTGGCTCATTGCTTCTGGGTGTGCCTGCCAACTAGGACTGAAGCTGAATTGGAACTCGTTACAAAAATGTTGACTACGTGCACGCAATCAGGTGAGTTTAACCCCTCAGGCTCATCGTTACTGGAGCAGCTACCTCTGGTTTCAATAGGCGGTCCCCGAGGCTCCATCATCGGTGGCCCTCTGGGGTCGCCCATCATGTTTCGTGGTTCACCCATGGGCGGGCCTCTCATGTCCATTGCAGGCCCTCTCATGTCCGGAGGGGGCCCACTCGCCATCTGGGACATGTGTACAGGAGGAGCTTGGTGTGGTGGTGGAGCTCCCATGTAGCCCCGGCTATACACACACAAAACAACAGCAGTTAAATCTTTTTGAAACCAAACTGACGAAGTCTCAACACAGATTTTTGGTATAAAAGGGGTGGTTGGTCTTAAAATCCACCATCACGACATCAAAAGTGGTTTATTGTACTGTTTATGATCGGCACTGAATATAGACCAATCAGCCACAGCATTAAAACCAATGACAGGTGAAGTGAATAACATTCATTTAAAAAATGAAATGTTCTGCTGGGAAACCTTAGGTCCTGGCTTTCATTTGGACGCTACTTTGACAACTACCGCCACCTAAACATTGTTGCAGATCCCCATGGCAACAGCACTCCAACGCCAGCAGCTTAACATTGTCCCACCACACAACATAAACGGCTCAGAAATGGCTCGAGGAACACAACCAAGAACCCAAGGCATTGACCCAGAATCTAAAATCCCCAAACCTCAATCCGATGAAGCGTCTGTGGGATGTGCCGGGACAAAACCGACCCACGTAGGCCTCACCCCGCAAACCACAGGACTTAAGGGATTAGCTGCCAGTGCTGGTGCCAGACACCACAGGACACTCCCATGTCCATGCTCCAACGGTTCAGAGCGGTTTTGGTGGCACCAGGGGGGCTTACACAATAATATTCAGGGTGATTTTAACGTGGTGGTTGATTGGTGCGTTTCCATTCAGCGATCACGTTTCTTTATAGTCATTTTCATTGTTACTGGCAGGGTCCGCCATTCATCAGCAAGTCATTATGATTCAGCATTTAATCCATTGTTACTGTTTGTTACTGATCCAAACCTTTGCCACACTGGTAACACAGTAGCTGAGCTATAATAAGTCACTGCTGATGCAAATAGAGCGTTTCCTATTGCTTCACGTACATCAATTGTTCAACTGGCCAAATTGGGTAGGGCTTGCAGGGGAATGCAACGTATTCTCCACTGGTTCATGAAAACTACATACACAAAACAAAACACCAGCTGGTCATTTATAATTGTATTCAAGGGAGTGATGGAGGAAAAAAACAGCAGCAGCAGCCACACACCTGCACACCTCAGACATCTTAGCAACTCCTCTGTTGTTCAGTGGAACACCATCTATGGCATGAGCAACATAAAGCGATTGCAACTGTTGTTTACAGTCATGTTTGCTCTGTAAACCGATACACTAGTAGCTGCATTTCGATCACTAGTATCTGCTCAACAAGTTCTGGGATTTGTGGTACTAAACCTCGCATATGTTGTAAGAACTAGTTTTGCGAAACAATCCAGGAGGAACAGCTTAAGGATTACAACATGAATAGCTTGAACTGACACTCCTAAAAGCCACACCTGCTCCGTTATTAAGTAAAGTGATGCTTTCTTACTTGGGATCTATGACCTCTCCAGTGACAGACAGCAGAGTTCCTCCTCTGGGATCATTGGGACCGTCTCCCAGCAGCCCTCTGGGGGGGATACCGCCCGGTCCTGACAGACGAAAAAAATAAATCACATATTCAACCGCATGTCTACACTCAACCCAAACAGATGCTTTTGTTCTCTTAAAGGGAAATGTTTAATGGCTAAACCATTATGAACAAGCAGCAACTTTGAATGAGCTGATAGGAGAGACCACACACATCTATAGAGAGTTGTGTTTGCACAGCATAGCTATTTCAGGAAACACCCAGGGTTGGTTGGGACGGATAAAAGACAGAGTGACCACAGCAGAACGGCCACAGCCCAACGTCACGACACACAGGGAGACATCAGGGTGTGAGCAGGGACATGAAGGCAGGGGGAAAGTGGAGCCTTAAGATCTGCTATCAATATTACCAAGAAGACAGAAGGTTCGAAACACACACAGACACAAAAAAACTAATCTGTTCCCACACTGATACAGAAAACCTGACATGATAATATTCTCCTACTTGTGTCTTGTAAGTCTGATGTTATTTGGCCATGAGACATCACAGACAGGAGGCATGCAGAGAGAAGATCAAGAGCAACGGATGTCTCAGTGTTCAATTATGTTAAAAGCATGTCTGATAGCATGAAAACGACAACCGACAGCGATACTATCCCCAGTAAACAGTAGGGCACCATAGCAGGCTTTTATCGTTCCCTGGCAGTGACTAGACTTCAACGTGAGCTATGAAATAATTCTTCTAAATGTTTCATCATGAAACATTTCAATACAGCCTTTCTGCACTTGGCCACTGCCTGTTTCACATTATATTCCGGTTAGATGACAGCTAAATGCACTGTTTCTCATCTACAGTGGTGTTTGTTGAAGATTTATGTAATGCAAATGTGGTTCTTGACTATGTTTGTAGGATGTGATGCTTATTCAGGCCGGAAAGTAGTCACTAAAAATGTAAAGAAAAAGCTCTTTCTGCTGGTCGGGTAAAGCTACAGCAGTGAGTTATACTGCCAGCAAATAGAAGAATCTAGAGGAAAACGATGAGGTAAAGAAGTCCTGGGCTTCTGTCAGCTTGTCAGTCTAACGCTGTTGTGGAAAAATAACAAGAAATCAGGCTGATTTGTGAAAAAACACCAACAAGAGCACATCAAAAGAGGAGTCAAGAAGCTTGAGTTTACAAAATTCTTTAAACAGTATTGTGCTGCTTGAAAGCGAACACAGCAATTTCACGTCATGAATTGACTCTTTGCTTTCTAGGAGCAAACAGAAGGCTAAGCAGTCTCTTCGTATGTCATGCCGTTCTCACACTACAGGAGTTACAAAATCCTAACACATTCTTAGAAATTTCACTAATATTCATCTTTATACTCTCAGTCATGAACACACTACAAGATCTGAAAATATTGGCACAGCACATGTTACAGGGTATTATTAATATTGTGCCAGAGGGAGTAATCTAAGAAAAACATGCCACCTCACATGACCTGACAGGGAAGCAGATGTAAACAAAAGGGAGAATGTGGTGCAACAACTTGATGAATTGCTGATCATGCCTTGCGGTGAGAAAAAGAAAATGCAAAAGCAGAAGGCTGGATGAGAAAGTGGCTGGGAGACGCAGTCGGCATGGGCTGTCTATTCTTCAGTGAGAACTGGAGGTGAGATTTTAACAGCTCTAAAAATGGTCCCATATGGTGAAAATCCATTTTTATTGTGTTTGTATGTCTTAAAAACTTGGGAGGTGTAAAATAAAAGCTGTGAGAATATGAAGATGCTTACAACTGCCATTTCTCCAGCCCCTTCCCTTCTACTAGAAAGCCTCCCAGATTTACAAACCACTCAGAATTTTGTTCATGCGGTGAGTAGAAAATGAGGAACCAATTGCAACATTCTCACTGCCTGCTCCTTCTGAAGTGAGTCCACCAGGTTTGTTTACTTTCTAGAGCTGCTTCTAGTAACTCTAAAATACTTGAGCCACGAATAAAGCGCGCCAAATGTTCTGTTCTTTGCTGGAAGAGTGGACACAAGAGTCTTAGCAAAATCCCAGCATCCGAGGAACTGAAGATCCATTTTTCATGGCAGTGTCCCCACATCAAATGTGTGAGTACATTGCATGGCTAACGCTACGATTAGCTTTCAGTGTATGCTCACAAGTCAGAGCTCTGTGAAAACTGTAACACAGAGGGACATTCAGAGATGGTGAAAACAAAAAACAGTGACTGGATGAGTTACTGTGTTTTTGTGCTGCCTGTTGTTCTCAACTTCAGCAGCTGTTTACATCTGTTCACTTCTCTCCTGCTCTTTGTGCTCACATACAGTGTATTTCAGTACAGCCAAATTCCCTATAAAGCTGTTCTCAATTGCAGATTTTTATATTCCTGTTTTGAGGCAACACAAAGAGTATGAAGGCTGAAACGCAGCTATTTACGACTGCATCTTACCCAGCAGTCACTTCAGGGCAATTCCCAATCTGCAGCTTTGCAACACCGAACAACAGATATTATAACCACAAAGTTGTCCGCAAGTCAGAGGCATCCAAATTTGAACATGATATTACTGAGGCGGCCCCAATGAGTCTGCCTGCAGTTTAAGGAGGTTTAGGACTGGATCTGTAAAACCCTCAGACGACTAAGAGCTCCAGACCAGACGCCGTCAGGAGGGGTGAAACGGGGCTAATTCTGCCTAAAACTCCTGCAGTCTGAGTCTTGCATTAGTGAGAGTGACACATCCTGTATAGATGGACCGCTCTGCAGCTGCAACTAACGACTGCTGTTCACATCGATTCTTTATTCAAGCAATCTATTGTCTTTACCACTAATAAACATCCAGAGTTTGAACTGAAAGCCTTCATGTGTATTTCTATTGCATCAGAGGAGGAGTGGGAGTCCTGCAAAAATCTGCGACGTGTGAATGTTGGCATTTTTAGAACTGTATATCCCGTCTTATTTAGCTGCCAACCTAGCTCGATTTTGGCAGGTGCAGCATCCATGAGCAAGCACACAGGTATGGAGGAAAAGCAACATTCCTCCAGCTCACTGACCCAAATTTACCCACAGTGCCATGGCAACAGCATCATGGCTAAAAACAGAACATAAACACGGAAAATGAGATTGAACAGACCTTTTGCGGCAAAAACACGTCTCCACTGTAACATTCTCCACATCTCGACATCTGAGATACAGCACGTGTAAAACAGCCGAAGATATTTTGTGGTTCGCATCCATCAGTCTGGACTAAGGAGAGCTTACATCTCTAATCAACTTTGCCAAACCGACAAACAGCAGACTCTGCAAAGTAATCCCCCAAATCAATGTAATTCAATAGTGACAGGAGGTTTCTATGTCATTTGTCTTCTGTTAAATGCCACAGATGGGTCTTTACAGAGAATTAGAGCAAAGAAGCAAAAAGACAAAACTAGTCCAAACTGCCAGCATAGAAAATTTGACCATTTTGTAAAATTCTAATAGAACCACTTTCAGGATTTTATATCAGAGTTTGTGGTTTATGGTTTTGCTATTACAGGACTGGTGTACCTACCCACTAACCATCTTTAAAACTATTACACCAGACAGATATCATCTGTCTGTGTCAGGGGGTTTTCCAGCTGTTCACTCAGACGACACATCCTGCAATCACACCTGTCTGCAAACGTACGGCAGGTCATTTAAGGCAATCAACGTCCCAACCAGAGCAGACGGCCTGGTGTGCTGAGCTGATGAGGCCCGTGGAACCTTTTAAAACCTCCTTCACAGCACCTAAAAGTGCACCATTGAGCATCTTAAGTGCCCTTTTGTAGCGACAGCCATTGAGCTGTACAATGCAGTCCAAAAATAAGCGAGATGAAGGCAGAACGTCTGCCCTCTCTGCACAAACTGGCTTCAGCTGCAAAAGCAAAACGCTCTCTTTGTGCACATATTTAGCATATTAAAATTTTGCAATTTTCTTCAATTAATTGCTTTTATCTACTTATTCAAAAGCAGTGCTACTGCGTCGTTTTCCTTGTTTAGCATTTGCTCAGATTCTAAAACATGCATTCTGCATTAATTTTTGTTTTGACAAACTTATTCTCTGCAACAAAAATGTTCACCGTCTGTAAATAGACACATGCTCAACATATCTATAAATAGGGGGGCAACAGACAAATATGTTATCGATTAATCTTTTTCTATATATTCCTCTTTGATCACAGTTTTGTACACTTCTTAACTTCATGTTGGACTGAAGGTGATGTGAATTCAAAACCAAACAATGTAAACAATACAATTCAATACTCACAGTACTCACTGTAACGTGCTTTTTTTTTTTTTTTTAAATAGCTTGGCTATAACGCTAGAAAATAATCATGCAAAATTCAGCTTGTAGCCTAAACCTTTCCCTTTTTACATGCAGAGTCTCCACTCTCATGATACAGCTCTTTCTGCTGTATTTACACGAGTGTTCTGAGAACACAACCTTTATTTACACAGGCCTAATAAATAATCTAAGGGCTGATTGTGTAGTGGTAAATTCATAATTGCTAATAGTAGGCAAGCAAGGTAATAAACTGTGAAAAGCTAACGCTAAGTCCAAGACGTGTGGTGCATTTAGAGCACCAGTCCTTTAACAGCGCTATGACCCGACGGGAGAACTGAGGGAGTACAGTGATACCTTGAGGCCGCTCGATAGCAGCTTGACCAGACGATCCTGTGGGAGAATGCTGAAGGTTTCCTGAGCCAGCATTAAAAGTGAAAAAGAACAAGAGACACAAAGACTAAAGAGAGCAAAGCAGCATTTGAGCGCGCTCATGAAATCATCTTATGCACACACAAAGACACAGGAGTGAAGAGGAAACTTCTACAAAACTAAGCAGCAGGAAATATTTACAGAAACACTGAAACAACATAATATCAAACATTTAGGGATGAATGTATTGTGCATTGTGTAGACCTTCAAAGGTCAACATAATAATTGCTTACAAAGAACCTTCACAAATAACGAGGCTCTGGTGACACCTAGTGATCCTCGTGAGCCATGACATGTGCCTCAATTTTATCGCAGGCGTCTACAGAGAGTTCCTTGGACTTGGCTTTGTTTTTGTCCTGACATGATGTGTGAACTGTGGGATTCAATATACACACAGGTGTGTCTTTCTAAATTTATTTTTTATTTTTCCTTTATTTAACCAGGTAGGTTAATTGAGAACAGGTTCTCATTTACAATAACGACCTGGCAACTGTGTCCAAAAAGTTCAAGTTTGTTACAGGTGAATATCTATCAGGATCTCAAGAATAATTAAAGCAAACAATATACACCTGATCACATATTGGAGTTTGACAGCAAAGTTAACGAGAAATCTCAGCTATTTATTCTAAATAAATTTGCAAAACTTTTCAAAAGCATGTTTTATGCCATCGTGGGTCCTGGGCTGGTGGGAAAATTCCAACTGTATTCTTTTCTAATTAAATCTACAACACAACGCAAGGATGCAAGATTCTGTAGGCATCATCATCTGTTGATCAAGTCTTAAAAATTAAACTTTGGAATTGGGACACAGTGACCACAGACTGGTAAATAATATCTAAATAGTTTATGAATCTATGTAAAAGACATCAAAAGTTTTTTTGGAATGGCTAAATTTATTTCGTTTAGAAGCTTTATAAAGTTATACGCACTGGAAACACTGCACTGGAAAACTTCACACAAACTATAATCATTGTGAGTTAACAGTTTTAGACACAAAAAGAAAAAAGATAAAGTCGTGGAAAATGATTGCTTAGTTCAGGGTTTGTATAGTATATACTAATGCACGGTATATTTTTAAATATAAATGTCATATTATTTTTAGACTACAGAATATTTACTTACTTTAAGAAAAAATCTTAGGTTTAAACTTTACTACACTTTAAGTTTTGCTTTTTTTTTTTTTAGACAACTTTAAATTACAGCAAAAAATATCAAACTCGAGGCAGTTACAGAGCAACAATGGTGATAAATCCACTGAGCAGATATCAGACATTCAAAAACAGCCGCATTAGCCTGAAGGACTACAGATACTGGAGATGATACGGATATGGCTACTGAAAGTAAGGGCTTGTTTTGTTAGTTTGTTTTAGCAGGGAGTTTAAAAAGCGGAACAAAGATCTGGAAAGTTGTCAAATGTCATCATCGTCATCATCATCATCAATACTCTTGGTAATCAATATTTGGAAACTTGACGCTATAACCACAGGTTAAGTTGCTATTTTAAGCATGTGTGCACTTTGATTATTACCTGGAGGTCCAACCGGTCCAGGTCCAGGTCCCGGTACAGGCATCGGTCCAGGGACAACACCCATGGCTGGAGGCTGCATCATCTGTGGAGCTCCATTGACGTGCATTCCAGGCTGATCATGTGACAAAACAACAATGATTATTATAAACAAAAAGAACGCTTACCATGAGGGACACTTAACTCTCAAAAAAGCATTCTTTGCTATCCCATCTCCCTTCAATTACAATATGACATAAGATCAGCTGAGTGGACTGAACACTTTTATGGTTCACTGATTTCAGAGATTACATTTAATAAAATCACGATTGTGGAAATGGAAAATTAAGAAACAGACTATCATATAAACAATACTTCTTTTCCCCCTCACAGTGAATGTGAACTTATTTTAAGGTATGAACACATTACGGTCCCGTCCAAATATTTGCTCCATTTCTCATTCACTTCTATTGATGTCGGTGTATTGGATAATTTTAAACACAGCATTGTTGATTTGGTTAGATCTCCAGCTGGTTTTGGGTCGTGGGTGAAAATTTCCTTTTTGTCAGACTCCAAATAATAGCACTGCTCTGACACAATTTGTGATCTCGATAATAAATATTCATTTGCTAAGTACATAGAAGCTGTGACGTCATGTCCTTTTAGAGGGCCAAGAACAGGCTAGTTTCATTAAATACAAATTTAATGTGACCAATATTGAATGGGGCATTGGGCCTCGTGACTCTTTGGGTCATACTAACTTTGTACTCTCCACCTCTGTTGTAGAGACTCAGGTCATCACACAAAATGGCCTATATCAGGTTATCCAGTACAGGCTCCAAGCAGCTTTGCAAAACTTTTTGCAACATGAATAGTATAAAGCTTTTACTTTCTCGTGCAATGGAAAAAAAAAACACAGTAAATTTTGGATACTTTTGGTTTATTTGTGTTGGAGAGAAATTAGCGGGTTTGTGCCAGTTTCTGTTAACTGCTACTGCATGAGAAGGAGAATACTGACTGAAAATAAGAATCGAGGACCTCTGCCAGGCAGAATTTAATGTATGTACAGAACATTTTGAAAGGGGATGACTATATAGATCCTGTAGGAGGAGCACAGGTAATGCTTTTGTATGAGGATGTGAGCCAGACATTTTTTAACTGATAGGTATTGGCAAGAACCTAAACTCGGTCGAAGGAGTGAATATATTATACAGACATGACAGAAATGAACACCGCTTTTATTGCAAGTGGTGCATTTAAAAAAAAATAAAAAATTCAGCCTTTACAATTCTCTTTTTACTTGTTCTTTTTACTTGACGTAAATTCCCAGTTTACTTGTGCTGTCACACATGTTGCAAGTTTGAGTAATTTTCTTAGTTTACTTGCCTACTAGATGTTTAAATCCAGCTGTCAATATATGAAAACAATGATGTAATTTTATGTAATTAACTCGACTTAATATATGTGCGCTGCCTGGGGTTCACTAATTCTCACAAAAGACTTTGTCATGGTGTCTCTTTACTAGCTAAACCCCTACAAAGGTCTCTGCTTGACAACAAGGAAAGGCCCTTCCTCTGGTTGCTACAGTATGTCTCAGCAGGGGGCCTCCACCTGGTGGTTTAAACAGGAACTACAGCCAAACTACAATACATGAAGTGCACATTATCTAGCAAAAAGTATCAAGTATTAGAAATATTAAATGATGCGGATCAAATTAGTGGCAACAAAATTTCATTGGGATATCATTGCTTTTGTATGTTGTTTATGCGTTAGCTTGTGTTACAGAAGTTACTGCGTGTACTGTTGACTGTAATCGGTAACCACACTCACAGCTATCCCCGGCCAGCTAGAAAAATGGCTGTTTCAGACGACTAATTTCTGTTCACTTTTAGTCAGGTGATTCATAAAAAAATAAGAATAAAAAAAAAACAAACACATTTTTGAAAGCTACAGGGAGCTCATGCTGGTTTCCCAGATATACACTTTTTTGTGACTTCTCATTTGCCTGAGTCTCTAGAATGAAGGTGAGGAGTGCAAAGTTAGCATGACCAGCCAAGCCACAATATAAGGAGCAGATTGAAATGAACTGGAATTCTTTAAAGAGTGAAAGAGTTCTGCTTACCACAGGTTGCGGCTGAGACACTGGTACAGTGGGCTGTGCAGCAGGAGGATTGACTGGTGGTGCTCCTCCACCCTGTGCGCTGGGAATCAGAGGAGGGGCTGTAGTTTGCCGATGAAGCATTTTCTGTACAGGAAGTAAAAGGAACAACATCTTAAAAATATGTTTTCTGGTCTCATGTTCAGGACAGCCTTCTTATTTAATGACACATGACAGGGTGACAGTCAAGAACAACTTATACGTTTGACTGCTTTACATAAAGGAAAACTCTTTTAGGATTCGATTTCTTTATTCTCACCAAGGCAATCTCAGGGTCGACAATCCTCATGACCACCTGGGCCTGCAGCAGAGCATAGGCCAGCTGGGGGTTCTGCAGCAGCATGTTTCTTGCCTCCTGGGGACTGTTTTGCACACACAGCTGGAAAGAGAAGTACAATTATCACCAAACAGAAGATCGAAATCTGATATTAGAAACTGCAAGAAAATAAATCAATTAAGGCGGGAAAAAAACAACAACAATTTTTTGTATCCATCCCTCGTAGATAAGATTTCCTCATTAAAAATAAAAACTAAAACTGATTTTTCAGCTGTTTCTATTCCCATAGTTTTTGCTACCCAGTTATGATTCACACACACACATGCCCATAACCAAACAAAGTTGTGGCATCAGCAAAAAAAACATTAGACAAACGATGTGCAACAATATCTGTAGTATCGGAGCACAAACACTTTCACTCTGATCAGCATATGGAGCTGTCCTACTGACACAAGCTTTGGTGCAACAAAACACTTCCCCAGTTGGGGGAAAAATGTCTGCAGTGTGGTGTTTCTTTGAGCTTAATGAAGCAGACTGCCAGCTGTGCACAGATAAGGTTTTCTCCGGCAGAGCTGGAAGAGACAGGCTGTACAGCAGAGCCTCTATTAATGAAAGGAAAGAAAGCATCTGCATACAGTTGTCAGGCTGGAGGTGATTCTGACTGAGAGAAACATTTTTTGCCGTCTTTCCCGGAGACTTAAAAGAGTGAGCAGCATCATACAGTCTGAGCACATGCTGTCTGGGGGAACTATGAAGCTCTAAATTCTGTTAGATTCCTCTTCAGTTGTAATTTGTTTTTCACTTTAGTCAAATCTAGTCATTTACAAAAAAAAATAAATAAAAAAACACAATTAGGATGCCTTGACAGTAGTGGCAGAAGCAAACTCATCAAAATGCTAAAATGCTGCAATTTGTGAAAACAAGACACTGGATGATCTGCTCTATTTTGAGGAGACTACACTGTAATACAAAGAGCTTTGCATAAATTCAGCAAAATATTATACAAATGCCACGCATGTACCATTCCAGAGATGGATCCACAGCACTAAGGGCTAGGCACTGGAACTGCATGTTTAGCAGATGGTTTCGTTGTTCTTACCAGCATCACTGTAGAGAAAGCTGGATCCAATGGAAGTAGTTAACAAAGCCTGCATCCCATGCAGAAAAAAGCTTAAACAGTTGCTCCTAAACCAACCTACCTTCATCTGTTTCATAAGTTCAAACATCTGCTCTGGTGGCAGACTGGCCACGGCTCTGCTGATGGACTCTGGGGCCTCTTCTGGCTGGACAGTATCTCCATAAGGAGATTCGATAATGGGAGCTCCTGTTCCCAAACCTGTGCAAGACAAAAGTAACTCAGAACTGCTGCTTTGCACAAACACCTCTCAGTCGAATCAACTACGGCAACTTAGAGACAAGACAAGAGAAAATAAAGCCTTACTTTTGAGCTCTTCCTTGTTTTTCTCACTGGCTGCGTTGTCCACACGGAGAGCCCGACCACTGAACTCTCTCCCATTCAGGTTCCGCATGGCACTGAGGGCCGTTTCCTGGTCTTGATATTCACAGAAACCATATCCCTTTGGCTTTCCCGTCTCCCTGTCATATACTAACCTGAGAACAAGGAGACACATATGATCATGTCAATATGCACATATTAAAAGTTGTCTAAAAACGTGCAGGGAAAACACCTCTATTCATCTCATTATAAAACGCGAGACCATAGAAATGTGCACATGTTGGGTGTTAATTTTAACTGTGAATGTTACACTTTTAACACTGTATGGTTGTTTACAGCAGAAACCTGGTTATGGAGCACAAAGAGCAAACATGTAAAAGTTCCTCGTTTCTCTTACCTGAAGCTGACAACAAGTCCGACTTCAGAAAAGATGTCTTTCAGCTGCTCTTCTGTGGCTTCATACGGAATGTTTCCCACTGAAATAATTATTAGACATGAACAGCTAACTTTAGCACGACAACAAATACAAAAAACACATTTTCATTTATAGTCCGTTTACTGGTTTTCCAGGAGGGTTACCGTTAAGTTTTGTTCTCTCGTTGCCTAGCTAACAGCACCACTAGCCGGACGTGTATGTTAGCAAGTTTTCATTCATTAGCCTTTGGTTTATCCATTTATCGTACACATAGTGGATAAAAGACCTTCTAGTCGAGCAAGTAAACGCAACCAACTTACCGAACACCGACCGTAACGACCGGTCCACGGCTGGGTCTCGACTCGCGGCGGCAGCAGCGGCTGCAGCAGCAGCAGCGGCAGCAGCGACGTTCGCCATTTTGGGGAGAGAAATGAATGCGACACCAGGAAATTAGACAGAGACGATATCCGTTTGAGGGGAAAGAAGGCCACATTCAAATGCAAGCCGTGCGACCTTTACTAACCTCTTGACCAGTGACCCCATCAGCTATCTAAGGCTTTATCTCTTATTTAATTAACCAGCAATGAGCAATACTTCTTTAACCGCGGGAAACGCCGGAAAACAGGATGAAAGTGGTCAACAGAAAACAGGTGGCGCTGTTGTTAACTTTTGTTTGCCCCTGCCGTTACAAGACAGGTAGGCTAGATATGACAGGTTATATAGTGCTAATTGTCCAGTTAAAAGTTAAAAACGTCTCCCGCACTCCCAGTTTCTCTCCAACAGAAGATTTGGTGAGTGATAATTCTTTTAAAGTTAGCTTGTTAGCTCGCTCACCGCCCTGGTGGAAGCTGAAATGTTGTTAGTTAACAGTTGTAACGTATTAAATGTGATTAAATACACATGTACGGATTGACAGCGAGACACATGAATGAACTATTAAAAAGTTAAAGCTAATAATGATATAAACTTCCAGCCATGCATGCAGTGAACTAGTAGCCGGCGGGTAGCCTTGTTAAGCCAAGTCAAGCTGCTGTTATTTATATTGCACATTTACAATGCCTATAAAAAGTATTCACCCCCGTAGAAGTTTTGCCCCTATGCCCCTATTATTGCTTTTCAACACTGAATCATGGTCAATTTAATCTGGGTTTTCTGAGAAAACCTTTACACAAAAAAAAGACTCATCTGAAAATGTGAACAGAGTTGTTCAAAGTAATGTCAGTTAATTAAAAATCTAAACAGTAAAACAAGTGATTGGTTTGTAGACGTATCTTTGGTCGCAATGACAGCATTGAGCTTGAGTGAATAGATCTCAGTCAGCCTGGCACATCTGGACCCTGCAATTTCCCCCCATTCTTCTTTTTAAAAAACTGTCAGGTTGTGCTGGGATTGTGAATGAGTAGCCCTTCAGCCACAAACTCTCCCTGGATTGAGGTCTGGACTCTGACTCAGCCACTCCAGAACATTCACCTTGTTGTCTTATGATCATTTCTGTGTAGCTTTGGCTGTGTGCTTCAGGTCATTGTCTTGCTGGAAAACAAATCGTCTGCCAAGACTGCATCAGGTTGTCCTTCAGGATTTAGCCTCTACCTTTACAAGCCCTGAAGGGCCTGTTGCCAAGAAGCATCCAAACATGATGCTGCCACCACCATGCTTTACGGTTGAGATGATGTGTTTATGATGATGTGCAGTGTTTGGTATTTGCCAAACATACCATCGAGTCTGATGGATGAAAAATTCAATTTTGGTTTCATTAGACCAAAGAATCCTCTTCCAGTTGAACTCCAATTGTGATTTAATTTTTTCTTTTTCTTTTTTTATTTGAAACTGTCTTTCTCATTGTCGCTTTCCATTAAGCTTGGACTGGTAAAGAACCCAGACGACAGCACAGTCTCTCCCATTTCAGCTGATGAAGCTTTCTACTCCTTCGAGGACTCAAAGGTTTCTTGGTGGCCTCCCTCACTTGTCTCTTTCTTGCATGGTCATCCAGTTTTTGAGGGATATTTGGTGACTTGGAAATTTCCTTGTATTCATCGCCTGACTTGTGCATTTTAACAACTGTTTTATAGATTTGCTTGGAGTGGTCTTGTGTCTTCATGGTGTAGTTTTAACTGGAGTACGGACTCACCAGTGACAGGACCTTCAAGATACAGGTGTCTTTATACTACAGTTACTTAAGACACATTTACTGCACTCAGATGATCTCCATTTCCCTACTTGTGTGACTTCTAGCACCAACTGGTCGTTGAATTAGATGAATCACTTTAAAGGGAGTGAGTAATTATGCAATGCGACATTAGGCTGCATTTAGGCATACCATGTGAGATTTTGTGCTTTGCCACCTAATCCTTTGTAATTAACAAGCTCCTGTAAAGGGTTATCTTTTTAGAATTTACCAACTACAAAAAAAACTTAAAATAACACTTAATATTTGAGGATTCCATTTATTGTAAATAAAACAGTAGAAACACGAGTCACGTGGAGACAGAAAACTCCTCAAAAGTTTTCATATTTGTGTACAATCAGTGTGCTACAGTCAACTATAAGCACTGCTTCTATTATTTGTATTAATTTGTGGATTATTTTCTCAATTAATTGATTTGTTATTTGCTCTGTTAAATGTCAAATGCCCTTTATTTTTACAGTAATCATAAGAGATGTATTCACATGTCCCCCTTAATCATAACCCATATAATCATATATGACAAAGAAAATCAATTGAATCTTAACTTTCATAGGCTAGAACTGGTCATTTTTGAGGCACTTTTGCCCAAAAAAGTACATGTTTGAATGATTTAAATCTCATCTACAAAGCTCTTTGTTCTCAAAGGCATGTTATTGACGTGTCCTTGCCCTGATTTGTCTTTATTTGTTTAACCGTTTTTTGCTTTTGTTTGTTGAATGAAATGCTTTTATCGTCTTTGTGTGACTCTAAAGCACTTTGTAACTCTTTTTTTCCCCATCATTCTTTACAAAAGTGATAAATCAGTTCTGAAAATAGTCAATTATTAATTTTCTTAATGGTTGATCTGCTAATCATTGCAGCTTGTCTATGAAAAGACAAATCAACATTTAGAATTATGCTAAATATTCTTAAAACAAAAAAGCAAAATTACTACAGCTATTTAAAAAGCCCAGAAGATTGGTTGTGGCATACAATTTATAAACTCCAATACATGCAAATATATTGTGTGTTTGTGTTTTGTCCTCCTCGAAGGACGTGAGGTACTTTGTAGTCTAAGAAGGCATAATAATTTTAACAAACAGAAGTAATATTTGAAAATTGTATGAAAATAGTAGCCATAATCATATAAGACAAAATACAGCTTTGATGTCAATGGATTATTTCACACTAATCACAAAACGTAGACTGTTTCTAGGTAATTTCTCAGGTAACCTTATACCGTTTAGTGCAATACACTACAACAGATCTGCCACAAATTCTGCCGATCAAAACAACAACCATGCTTACTGTCATGTCACCTCCCAAAGGCCCATTTAAATCCAAAGAATCTCTGAGAGTGTTACATTATTGATTTTTGAGGTCATAGTTAGTGGTGATGTTGTACTTGACTACATTATACTGAAATGTGTTTCTCATATCCTTGCCACTTCAATGCACAGTGTGATATCAGTATATTAAAATTAACAATTCTGACAGTCTATACTGAACATTATTATTATGACTGCAAAAAACATTACTTTAAAAATGCCAGAAAATGATGAAGAATGTCAATTGGTGTTTCCCAAAGCCTAAGATCATGTTTTTAAATGTCTTGTTTTGTCCTGAACCCAAAGATATTCAGTTTGCTGCCATGGGGAAGAAAGCAACCCGAGAATATTTGAATTTCGGAAGTTGTTATAGGAGGAATTTAAACATGTTTTGGTTTTGAAATTATTAACGAAACTGGTAATTAATTGTCAGAGTAGCTGGCCAAGGTGGGGTAGGCGAGGGTGGAGTTATGGCGGAGCTGTGCTGTGGATGGATAGCATTTGACAGGTGCACCACTGAGTGGGTCAGCAGTGTTTCTCCACCTAAGACCAGCTTGTGCAGAGTATTTCTTCTATTGGGTTTAAATCAATTTAGCCAACGATTGGTGGTTATTGATAGTCGCGGTATTGGAGCAGAAAAGCATTCGTGGTTCCACTGGGGCTCGAACCCAGGACCTTCTGCGTGTAAAGCAGACGTGATAACCGCTACACTATGGAACCAGCTGATCACAACGGGAAGCAGAATGTTGTAATAAACACATATCGTAATAGTTGTGATTTCGCTGCGATGTTCGGTAGTCTTCGCGATTTAACAGAGGACTGGCAACGCTGGGAGTCCGCTGACATTCACTGGACCTTCCTGGAACGCCTCTGCGCTCCACTTCGCCGCTGCAGGCTGCGGTTCAGACAAAGTGTCGGTAAGCTTCGGTCTCTCCAGTAAGTCATCTGGCTTGGATATTAACCTAGCTACGTCTTAGCTGCTGCTGGTTTGACTCAGTTATGTCGAGCCCTCTTGGGACGTTTTGCTTTTGTGGCCGATCGTTATGGTAGCTAACATCCAACAGCCGAGCAGCCACCGATATACAGGAATTATCAAGTTGGACGAGCTCCTTCATTTGTCCGTGTTTCCAGCCCTGCCGCCTGCGTGCACGGCAACTCACAACACATCAAGTCTGGATTAGCGTTTGTAGTTTGGAAAGCTGACTTGGCTTGTCCAGCTAGCATGGATCAAGCGTGTACATGTTGAAACTTGTGATTTCAACGATGAAAACAGGACACAGTCTAGTGCACGGTACCAGCCCAGGTTACCTACTGTAAATATGACAGTACTCAGTGTATTGTCAAAAACATAGACCTGGCATGAAGTTAGATCAAAACTGTCTGACAGTGGGAGTTAACACAATAGAAATTAAAGTTTACCTGGATCATGTTCTCTATATTACAGTCAACCAAATAAGTTGGTCTTGTTTAATATTTCAAAGCTGATACACAGCTTACATTAAAGGTTTAAAGATTACACATCACTCGTTGGATGTTACATTTAGACAAGCAAAATCTGATATTAGCAATATGACTGAGTGTAATATTCAGTTTCTTCAGTTTCTCAAACATGACACTGAAGGTTATTGTCACCTTTCTTAATGCAAGGTCACTCATCCTGCTTTGAATAACCACTATAAAATCTATTTATAGATCTGTATCTGCTAAAACCAATATGCTTCATATTTTTACATGAAATGGTACCCATTCATTCATCTCAACTATCTCAAGTGTCGATCAGTTATATGTGCGAGTGTTTCTTGCTATGGTGTCTGCATCACAGAGCGCACAGCTGAATTTCTAAGTAGCCACATTTCTGCTAAATTGTGCTTTGAGATGTTAAGACTGTGCATGTGTAGCACATATGCCTCTTGCACCAGCGCTGT